TTTTACACAAAAATTAAAAAAATTATATTATTGTGGTTCTTAAACCAATATGAGTTACAATAAGAAATTAATTGAAACACAGATTCGAAACTTTCTTATTAATTTTTTTTTGAAAAAATGTAAATGTAGTTGAACTTACAATTATTGCTATAAAAATTTAATTTTCAGTTTCAATTTTATATTTCAAGAATTTAGAAACTTTAATATGTTGGATAATTTGAATAATTTATAAATTATTAATATAATTTAAATATTGTTTAATAAGTAATTATATTCTATAAATAAAAATATTATAAAAATTAATACACCAATTACAATTGTTATTCTACATAATAAAAAATGTATTAAAAACTATTAATTTATTTATATATTTTGTGTATTAAAACAAACTATTTTTTTAATATTAATGATTTATAAAAGATAGTCAACAAAACTAAAACTCATTAACAATGATTAAATATCTATTATTTTTATTATAATACGTCACCAATTTAAAATTAGATTTTTTGTTTTTTTTTAATTTGATTATAGTATAATTATAAAAATGTTATAATATTTTATTAACTTCAAGAGTTACCAATGTCTTTAAAAAAAAAATAAAAAACATCAAGATCAAGTCAACTTTTATGATAACTTTTGTAAACCGGATACATTATTTTTATAATAAATACCATTTAAATAACATTTCATTTTACAAACTATAAGTAAATATTAAAATTATTATATAAAAACTATAATTCACAAAAACGTAAATTGTGTTTTTATGGAAAGAAAAAATGCGATTACTCATCAATTTTTTTCTCTCAAAGAATTAAATAACAATGACGTGAGGCAAAATAATCATTTCGATGGTCTCATTATATAATCCCGTGAAATAGGTAAAATATCATCAAAAATAAATATAATATCAAAGGAGGATTGACAACAAAAGGAATCACAGTTCGAATAGCCACGGATAATAAACGTGTATAAATAAACCATTTGATAATAGTTTTTCAATTATTAACAAATAATAAAATGAGCACAGTAAAGAGTAAATGACTCAAATTAAAAAGTCATTATGAGACTATTTCATATAAAAATACTTCAAAAAATGAACAAAAGGAAGCTAAAGATAGATAAAAAAGATCGGGACAAAAGGAATACCAGGAATTAAATTTCGTATTTTTACTTATTTTAAAATTTTTAATAAATTAAATTCAATTTGTTGTTCTTTGATGATGTTTGGCATTTATATATAAAGGTCAATCGAAATAAATCAGTATTCAATTTAAATGCAAACTCAACAACTCAGTGCATTCACGAAGAAAAACATATACGAGGAATATCCCACTGTATTTTCAACTGTATTCTACCCGTTTAATTCTCACACAAGTGAACACAACAATTTAAAGAAAACAAAGAAAACTGAAGTTGTGAATGACTCTATTAATAATATTAGTCGTTTGTTACAAGCAAAAAGAGCATCTGCAGACAGAGATGCTGCTCAACAAGGATTTTTAATTTCAGTGTTGGCATTGAATGGATTTGAAGTGAAAATGAATAAGTTGTATAAGAAAGGGAAGACGACACACCAGTTATATGTTATTGATTTAATTACAAGAGAGGGTACAGTGTACTTTAACTTGAATGATTTTCATTTACCATCTGAAAATCTGAAACAAAAAAGAAGAAGCCAAGACGCTCTAACAAACAACATATTAATAGAAATCGCTGAAAAGTTCTGTGGCGCTGTTTTTAAATTGAAAAATGGGAAGAAATCGAATGTTTGTATTCCAATGAAGAGAATACAAACAGCTAATGTCAATGGGGTGTTTTATACTGCTGAAAAGATCTTAGTCGATGGAATTTATGAAAATGAAAATATCAGAGATAATTTGAAAGATGACGGTTTTGTTGTTAGTAACGAACAAATTAATTGCTCTTTGTAAATTAATGGAAAGAAAACGAAATGAAGAGTTCGAAGAATCTTAAAAATTGTTTAAAAACTAATTTATTGAATGTTTCTTCATTTCATCTATTTTTACTATTCTTAAACTAACAATTCTACTAAAATTAAATTATAAAAATAAGTTTATTTGTTCTAATTATTATTAATACAATAATGGTTATTATTAATTTAGTAGTTTTTTTATTTAAAAATTAAAATATTTATTTGTGAATTAGTTTTTATATTATTTTAATTTAAAAACATAATAAAAATATCTAATATATATTGTAAATTATTCTATGATAGAAAAATTATTAAATTAATAATCACATTTGTTGTTAAATTATCGAAATAATAAAAATAATAAAAATATTATTTTTGTAACAACAATTTAGTTTTAAAACCAATTAAGAACCGAGTCTTCTAATATTAATAAAATAATACAATTTTATAATTTTTTATAAATCAATTATTTTTTTTGCTAAATTTTTTTAAGTTAAACATTATAGTATTTTTTATTATTAATTATATTATATATGATATAATTAAGGTGCAATATTAACTTAACATGAAAAATTTTCATGTAAAATAAAATAAAAAAATAATTCTGTTTGTTTACTTGTTTTGAACTAAATTAATTTTAAATAAATTATAAATAATGAATAAAACCATTATAATTTATTATAATAACTATAATTGTAGTAGATTTCATATAAAAAAATAAGTTTGTTTTTAAATCCAGTTGTAAACTTGTTTAAAATGTATTAACAATATTGAAGTTACACTTGACTTTCTCCAATTCAAAATGCAATACAATTATAATATCTGTAATAACTTTAATAATCATTTTATCTATTAACGAAAAATAACAAGTTTAAAAACTCCATTTTACAACGATTTGCCCCATTCAAATCAACTTGAAATTATATGTTCAAATGGCTGTACAAACTATTTCAAAAACCGTCGCCAGCGCAGCGCGATGAGCAGCAGCGTAGAGTTGAATCAATGGAAGAGTATATTAGTAAGGAGGTTTTGGGAATCTCGAGAATCGAAGACCAAGCAGATCGCAACACAAAATTTCTTCTCCAAGTAACAAACAGCGTTTCAATGAACGTTCTTTTCGATTCAGATGTCGACAAATACGAGATCCAGAACAGCGCATTCATCCCAAAAATTCTAATGCACAACAATGTCC